CTTTCGATTTCATTTATAGCTTTTAGTTCTTCCCGCGATGCACTGACTCCTAAGGATGCCTTTTAGCTTTAAGTTCGCAGCTTGCTATTGCTCTCTGACCAGTCTCTCTGCGGTCATTTTCAGATATTTTATTGACCGTCTTTTAGCCGCTTTGTTATTCTTTTTCCGTTCGCCTGTAAGGGGCGCCGGTCTCTTTCTATTTTACTTCTACTCATCATTGTTCTTAGAGGATAGCCTTGTGCAATACATCGATCGTGTGCCACGAGTTAATCTGTCCTATGGCATATGTTTTGGGTCTGTGTTGCTTAGTAATATCTTCCAAGCTTATATCGTTGGACTTGGATTTTACTTGGTCCCACTTTATGGTTTTTGTTATTTGAAGTTGAAGTGGTGAATGCTCCCTCGTGTCTAGTCTCTTGTTGTTCGGTCTCTGGGGCTCCACGCATACATGTTCTGAAGCCTCAATTATGTGTGATCTGGTGGATATATGGTTTTTGATTTGGTGACATTTTTATCAGATCTTCATTGTTAGTGAAGATGAGGTCTAGTGTATTCTCCAGTCTATAGGCTCATATTGTTTGCTGGTTTAAATTGAATTTGGTGCCGAGATTTAAAAGCTTGCGTGTGAGTGTGAGTTTTCATCAGAGCTGCCTCCTGGAGTTATTTCGCGGCAACAATATTATTTGCTAATACCGCCCTCATTTTAGGTGCACCTAAGTTGAGAATCCCCAGGAGCAAGATGTTTGGGTGCAGGAGCTGGTAAGATTTTCCAGACAGTGGTCAAAGTTGTTTAACAGTTGTTCCTGGAATTGCTGGGGATGTTGCATCGGAGGCTTGTAGACTACCCACATGACTAGGTTTTGGTTCTCGACCCTTTACACGCACTTAAACTTCCACTATCGTCATTTGAGGGCAATGAAGCAGTTTCTGTGCAAACAAGTGACTCTGCAAATGTAAGGCCAACCCCCCCTATTGCCTGTTCACTTCTGTCACATCTGTATGTGGTTGTAACTGGGTATCCAATACTTTCGTTGTCCAAGTGATCCTTTTATGTGGTCTCAGGAAAAGCCGACGACCATTGCCTTTGTCCTCTGCAAGCAGTCCACGGACGATGAAAGGTATTTTGTTGTTTGTTGCTGGCTTTTTAGACCCTGTATATTTGAAAGTAGGATGTTATCGGCACTGGTGAGTATTGTTGGTACTGGGGGGGATTTTTTTTTCCGGCATTAGTATCTGTATTGTTGGTTTGGAGTGGAGGCATCGACTGTTGGTTCCACTCCAGGAATGACTGGATTTGGTGTACGCTTACTGCCAATTCCTGCCAGTTTTTTTTTCCTTCCTGGCACTAAATAACCTTCCCCGAAAACTCTCTCCCAGGGAAAACCTCCTCTTGAGTGGCTGTGGCTACCCAGGTTTTCCCATGGGCCGGATAGTTTGGTATCTTTTTGTACCCTTTAGATGGTGATGTAATGTGCCTGGAATTGAAGTTAAGCACAGTCTTGCCTGTATGTTGAGGTAAACATTTCAGGGTGAAAAAGCTTACAGGAAGGGAGCTAGTCCCAGTTTGCATTTTCCTGTTGTATATGGGCATGGCATTTTCCTAGGGTGGTCATAGTTTGCACGTCCCCATTGTTTTTCCGATTTCCCATGCCAGACAGATACCAAAGTGCTTAGTATGTGCTACAGGCTTGGTTTCCGCTTGCCTTGGGTTTCTATGCTGTTATTCCCTGTTGGTGCATTGTTTCCCTGTCTTACTTCTATCCTCCCTAAGCACCAACAATGGAGCTCCCACAGTTGTTTTGGTTATTATCCTCACTATTGCGATTGGGAGTCCTATGTTTGCTATTTCTCTGCGGTATTTCTAGTTTGCAATATTGTTTTATCTTATCTTTGACTACATTGTTTCCCTACTATGGTCCTGTCCCCTATGAGGTCATTTATATGTATTCCTTCATGCGTATTATTCCGTCTACCTGGACAATATTTCTCCTGCTTCAACATTACTGTCTCCCAGGTCGTATCTCCTGCCTTCAACATTCTGTCTCCCAGGACTGGGGGCCCCCCCCCCACCTCCTGCTTCACCCATTACTGGTCTTCCCAGGACAGCACCTCCAGCTTTACTATTTACTGTCCTTTCCAGCGACATCACCTCCACAGCCGTACAGTTAGTGACTCATGGCCAGTATCAAGGGCAGTACCATGCAGCAAGACTTTTTATGTTCCCATCTGTGTAGGGAAAAAGCTTCAGGTTTTCTATGAAAGCAAAGGCCTTGATGTTATTGTCCTCTTTTAATACCCCTGGTGATTTGCAGTCCAACAGATTTTCCTCATTTGGCCATTCCAGAAAAAACATTCTCTGTTTTACATACTTGCTTGTTGTTAGTTTGGGATATCGTACAAGGAGCGTGACACCAATTTCCACCAAAAATGACAATTTTATCCATGTGGAAAAAGCCGTGGGTTGGGTCTGTCACAGGACTTCACTCAGCGTCATAATGAGTGGATAATGGTTGATTTAGGCAAATTTACTAGCAACTCTTGACCCATAATATATTAATACCTTAAATTGAAGCTCTCAGCTATTTGGATTTCTGTTTCTAACTTTTTTTGTGGTGCCCCGGTGGTCTGGTGGCTAAAAACTCCCGCTTCACATAGGGGGGGGCCCCGGGGTTCGTTTCCCCGGCGGGTGGAAAATTCCGACACGTTTCCTTACACTATTGTCCTGTTACCTAGCCAAAAGGTCCCTGGGTGTTAGCGACTGGGGGGGGTCGCATCCTGGGGGACAAATTAAGGACCCCAAGGAAAAAAAGTTAGACAGTCCTGGAGCACTGACTTTTTGGGGTTACCCTGGGGGGCTAACCCTCCGGGGAAAAAAAATCCGAACGAAATCTTATTTATTTTCTTGAAATTGGACAGCTTACCGTCACTTTCCCTTTTTTAATGTTTGGTTTTTTAAAAGGGGCGCCTAAAACCCCCTCCTTTTACAGTCTGTTTTATTGTCCAACGAAAACTTTTAAAAACCATCCGGGTTGGGGACCAATCGACTGCTCTGATCAGGGGGGTCACTTTTTTTTAAAACATACGGTCGGTGATTTGAGTAACACATGAAGGACTATGGAAATTATTCCCCGGTAAATGTGTTTTGACTGATACAAAAGTATAACTTGGTTTTGAAGAGCGGTGTATCTGGCAGCTCTACAAAGACAAGGGTCGACCTCCTTGTTTATCAATCGCTGTACTGGTTTTTTTATTTTTTTTTTTCCCCTCTCCCCCACAATAAATGCTATATTTTCACTATGTTGACTGGGGCAAATTTTGGGGGAAGGGCGTTTTTTTGTAGTAAAAATTTTCTTTTCGTTGTGTTATTTCGCCCCCTGGTAACTCAGGGGTTTATGAAAATTCACAGAAAGTTCCCTATTTTAAGAAAAAGAAACTATGAAAGTCACTCCCCTCCCCTAAGTACCTTATAAAGGTTAGTTGCTACACAACACGTATTCTGTATTTCCCGGGATCACAGATTTAGCGATACACTAGCAGGCCATAAGATATTAAAAACAGCTGACCTGTGGTAAGTTTTGGCGACTTCTGGGACCTTCCCTATAGGCTTATCCCTTCATTTACAAAAATTTAAACCCCGTTTTTTTAAATGAACTTTTTGCCTTTATCATCAATATACTAGGGAGCCACTGTAGTAACGGATCACCATCACAAAAGGAAAAAAGGGGAAAATTCTAGGAATCCCCCTTGATAATAGACTAAATAACAAAAAAAGGGACAATACGTGCTGGAAGATACACAAATAACCCGCACATAAAAGACAGAAGCTTACGACGACGTTTCGGTCCGACTTGGACCATTGACAAAGTCACACTGTGACTTTGTCAATGGTCCAAGTCGGACCGAAACGTCGTCGTAAGCTTCTGTCTTTTATGTGCGGGTTATTTGTGTATTGATAATAGACTCAAATTTCATACACATATACAACAAATTTCTAAGAAAATTTCCAAGACTGTAGGCATACTATCGAAGATACGGTACTATGCTCCACAGTCAGCCCTCCTGGCCCTATATCACTCTCTTATTTACCCCTATCTCACCTATGGAATTTGTGCATGGGGCTCAACAACAAGTAACCATCTCAGACCACTAATTACCCAACAAAAGGCTGCAGTTAGAATGATAACAAATTCTCACTACAGGCAGCACACTCCACCAATATTCAAAACACTCAACCTACTCACCATACAAAACTTCCATACTTATTATTGCACCTATTACATACATAGAACACTTAACTCTGATATTAACCCTCCCCTCAAACATCTCCTTGCCAACCTCAACAGAACACATGACCATAACACAAGGCACAGATCACTCTTTGATGTTCCTCGTGTCCATCTCACACTATGCAAAAACTCAATGCACATAAAAGGCCCTAAAATCTGGAATTCATTACCTGTAAATATAAAAGAAACACTACCTGTTTATAAATTCAAGTCTCTTCTCAAAGATCACTTACTCACCCAAAACCAAATAAATACTGAATAACTGAACCTTATAAATTGTATATCTTAAATGTTTCTCACAATTATATCACATAAATGTTAAACCTAAAACCCAATCTAACTTTATTATTTTTTAAATACACTACCTAACAGAATACTCCATACGACTGAATGTACAACAATGCATGCAACCATATGACCTGTCTTTGTAATACTCATTTGTGCTTTATAGTTATCTGTTTACAATAATGTTTTATCACTGATTTCATCATTGCTTAGTTAATCTTAAGTTAATTTTAAGCCAGCCCGTAATGCTATGCATAGTATAAGTGGCTTTGGCATGCTGCTCTTATCTGTATTTTTTTGTACCTCTGTATGTGTGCTCAAATTGTAAATAAATAAATAAATAAATAAATAAATAAATATATTGTTATATGGCTCTCTAGCCCGAAGCAGGACTCGGTGCGGAGTAAGCTGTCAGTGGCTCTTAAAACCCCCAACAAGGAGAAGACAGTGGTGTTGGACCAACAACCTTAACGAACTTCTGCGCCAGCCTTTGTCGGGTGTGGACGTCTCTCGCCTGACTATCAGCTACACATTTTCCCCGTTCTTTCTGGGACGCTTGTCCTCTTTATTTTGCCGGCTGGGCACTACCGGAAGGGCACATGATCATCGGCTTTCTTTAGGCAGCTCCATTTTTTCCGCTCTACGGATAATTCTTTAACGGTCTTTTTTGGGAAGCCGGTTACTGTACTTAGGTGTGGGTGTTGGCGTCCCGCACTGCTGGAGCTTTACAAGGAGGTCCACCGGATCTAATCGGAAACTTCGCTTCTATCTCTATTTACAAAGGAACTTTTGTTCCTTTTCTCTCATCGCTCAGTCTTGAGCAACAGATTTTCCTGATACCATCGAGAAGTCAGGCTGGGTGCGGCTGATGCTGTCAGTGGCCCTCATAAACCCAACAAAGAAAGACAAAAAAAGAACCCTCATAAACGCTTAATCATCTGTTTTCTGAATAATAATGTTAATTCGTGTAACTGAAGCTTACCGCTTTGTTCTCCACACTACAAAATTACTTCAAAATTCATATCGTGCTCAGGTAAAGTTATCAGTCTCAGGTTAACATGTCTGCTTTACTATGTTAGTTCAGGTGTAGTTAGGCAAAAGTACACTTACACAAATTTAGGTTATTATGACTATCATGTATAGTAACATAGGTGTAAATAATCTAGGATAACATAAACAAAAAAGAGTCACACATACAGCAAATTTCCAAGAAAGTCTCGAAAACAGTAAGCATCCTTTCAAAGATATGATACTATGTACCTGAACCAGCTCCCCTCTCTGTACCACTCAATCATTTACAGTTACCTCAACTATAGAATCTGTGCATGGGGCTCAACCACAGCAAATCACCTCAAACCTTTAATAACCCAACAAAAAACTGTACTCCAATTGATTTCTAACCCCAGCACTAGTCAGCATACTCCAACACTATTCAAGAGTCTTATCTTACTGAACATACAAGACATCCACACTTATTATTGTGCCTAGTACATACATAGAACACTGCACTCAAATATAAACCCTCCTCTCAGAATCCTTCTTGACAACTATAACAGAACACACAACCATAATGTAAGACACAAATCACTCTTCGATATCCCTCGTGTCCATCTCTCCCTATGCAAAAATGTAGTGTACATAAAGGTACCTAAAATCTGGAACTCATTGCCATAAAACACTAAAGGGCCCCTACCTGCAAATCAATTTAAGGCTTAACTTAGAAATCACCTACTCGCCCAAAATCGACCAAACCAACCATACTCAATACCTACCAGTTACTCAAAGACTATATAAAAAAATAAAAATTAATATAAGTCAACTCAGCTTCAACTGAATTCACCTCCACTACTATATACCGTGCTCATGATTACTCAACCATAAACTTGTTACTTCTAACTTAGATGCTTAAATTCTTGCATTAAATATTACTAAAATGTAAAAATTATTAATTCCATTTAATTGTTCTAAATTATAAAAAATCGTAATAATCTCATACTGTATTTTTTTTTAAATTGTCCCTTTGTAATACACCCATAATGTAAATTAACTCCACTTGTACCATTATTTGTAATAATGTCCATATCCATAATGTTATTGTTTCTTTCTGTAAATTGTTTTTAGACTGTTCCATAGAGATATAACCATATTATAAATTAACCCAAACAGTACCACTACCTGTAATTATGTAAGTTTTATAAACTAAATTTTTAAACTGTAAGTACTGTGCTTAGACATACAACAACCAAATAATAATCTGTTATTGCCTTCTTAGTCATAAGTTAATTTTAAGTTTGCCTGAAATGCTCTGCATATAAAGGGGCTTTTGGCATGTAAACCCAACTATTGTATCCTTAAGTACAATTATGTATCATGTCAAAATAAACATTATTATTATTATTACAGTATTATTATTATTATTATTATTATTATTATTATTATTATAAAGTGGCTTATACTACTATACCTATATAAATTAACAGGGTAAAGGTATATTGCACCTGGGTAAGCTTTATCCCACTCGGGTAAATTCATATAGAAGACTTAAATTATTAATCCTGAGAGTTAGGAGCCTAGCATACCCCAAGAAAGTCATTCAGTATGATTTATATCCATTGTCTCCGGTTTAACTTCTTCCTGCCAGGATTAATTAAGTATTTAGATACAGGTACAGTTATCATACCTAGTAACATATGTGTAAGTTACCAAAGATAACCCATGAAGGTCAGATGAAGTGATTTATGACAGTCGGGTAAAGTTTAGGTACATATTCAATACTAGGGAACATAGGACCCCAATGGAAATGGACCTCCCTCAAGGGAGGAGCTCTTGATCTAAGGAATTGGATCTGTGCTCTTGTTTCCTGAATTGAGGCCAGAGTACTTTCCATATTACCCCCAGGTGCTGTAAAAATCCCTACAGGTTTAGTGCCCCCCTGATTATAATAATAATGGAAATGGACAAGGACACCAGTGGAAATAAGTCACTTTGATTTTTTTTAGTTATCCTAGGTAATCTACACATATGCTGCTATGTATGATAATTTATGTAACTGTATTTATGTGTACATGTACCTAAATAAACTTACTAGGTAACAAGTGTAGGGTAATGTGCCCAACATTTCCATTAGCCCCAGGATCAAACCAGGCCCTTCAGATGTGATTTGAAGGCACTACCACTGAACCATGAATTCAATGCAAGACAACCCCCCCCCTTCCCCACTCTTCTAAGACCTAAACCTACTCACTGTACAGAACATTCACACCTATCCTGTGCAACCTACATTTACAGAACCATAAATTCTAATATTAACCCTGAACTAAAACACTTTCTTGATAGTTGCAACAGGGCCCATAGACACAATACCAGACATGAAAATCTCTGTGACATTCCTCGTGTCCAGCTAAACCTCTACAAAAATTTGATGTACATAAAAGGGCCAAATATCTGGAACTCCCTGTCTGAAAACTCTATAACTGCAGCCTCAACCACCATTTTCAAAACTACCATTAAAAAACATCTTATCTCCCTAACACACCCAATCATCAGCTAGCCAAATGAAAAACCACCTAATTCTCTTTTTTTGTATCATGAACAAATCCAAAACAATATACAGTAGTCTTACTCTCGTTATCTGTAATTCCCCCTAATTTACACATACACTTGCCCAAATGACTGTAAACATAAAATTCCTAATATAACTATTGCCTATTAATTCTTAAGTTAGTCCTAAGTTTGCCTAAGATACTCTTTCAGTATATAAGCTTTAATAGAAACGGTGTATCATGCCAAGACAAATCCAGTCCCATTACTAAATTTACCGTTTGTAATATTATTATATGTTTTGTACTACCTCACTATTATAAATCTAATTAGGTATGTATCTAATTATGTATGTATCTAATAATGTATGTTAAAATGTACTGCTCCACAACCTATATCAATATAGAGTAAGAATTAGCATTAGTCTGCCCGAAATGCCTAGGCATGCTAGTGGCCTTCTTTGTAATCAATATTTTATAATGTGTAAACCACTCATTATTAGATATCTCTACTCCAAGCAGGACATTCTTTTACCCTTGTAAGATGTAACTTGACTGAGTAGGATGTAACTTTACCTGAGTAAGATATAACTTCACCCAAGAATAACACACACATACGTATGTGCAATCAAGACACTTATTGATTGTGAGTATGTGTCTTAGTCCCAAAGAGTGTTGGTACTAATATACTAGTAGTATTTGTACAACTCTATCCTAGTAGGACATATCGTCACCTAAGAAAAATACATTTTTATCTGAGTAGGCTTAGGCAACATGGGAGATATCTTTACCTCATGAAAATGAAAATGTTTATTTCCTTGTACAGCTTACAATGAGTGGTTTACACATTATAAAATATTGATTACAAAGAAGGCCACTAGCATGCCTAGGCATTTCGGGCAGACTAATGCTAATTCTTACTCTATATTGATATAGGTATGTTAAAATGTACTGCTCCACAACCTATATCAATATAGAGTAAAAATTAGCATTAGTCTGCCCGAATGCCTAGGCATGCTAGTGGCCTTCTTTGTAATCAATATTTATAATGTGTAAACCACTCATTGTAAGCTGTACAAGGAAATAAACATTTTCATTTTCATGAGGTAAAGATATCTCCCATGTTGGCTAAGCCTACTCAGATAAAAATGTATTTTTCTTAGGTGACGATATGTCCTACTAGGATAGAGTTGTACAAATACTACTAGTATATTAGTACCAACACTCTTTGGGACTAAGACACATACTCACAATCAATAAGTGTCTTGATTGCACATACGTATGTGTGTGTTATTCTTGGGTGAAGTTATATCTTACTCAGGTAAAGTTACATCCTACTCAGTCAAGTTACATCTTACAAGGGTAAAAGAATGTCCTGCTTGGAGTAGAGATATCTCCTACTCGGGTAAAAATATATTTGACTAATCTAAAGATGCAGTGCAGTAAGTATATCCTACTCTCATAGGTACAGTATGTACTATATCCTAATCAGATAAAGATATATGTCCTACTTGGATAAAGGAATATCCTTGGGTAAAATAGACTGCACTCTGCACTCTGAAGGAGGGGTGTTAATGTTGTAGTTTTTTTTACTGTAGTGTAAGAATGCCTCTGGCAAGACAGTGATGGAGTGAATGATGAAAGTTTTTCTTTTTCAGGCCACCCTGCCTTGGTGGGAGAAGGCCAATGTGTTAATAAAAAAAAAATAATGTTGAGCACATATATAATAATATTATTTGCTTAAGAATGTGTGTGTAATTTAATCAGTTTCCATCACTATTTCACAAGTCATAAAGAGTTAATCTCTCTATGTTGTATATTTTCCATTGTGACTGTTAATATGTATGTATTTTTACCATGATTTTTCACCACACTGACTTTACAGAGATGGGTTTCATCCCTGGATCAGTTTCCTGTGATTCGTGTTCCAGTAGCATTATCAGAGAAGTTGAAAAGAGAAAAGATCAAAGTTAAGAGAAAAGAAAGGGAGCTCATCGTGGATAAAATCTCGGAGAGGTGACCAGTCTGTATGTTTCTGCTAATTGTTTTTCCATTATACTGTACATTATTTTGTTAGAAATAAATGGCCATAGTTATTAGGAAATTAATATGTTTTGTCTTTGTATAGATGTTATTTGCCATTTTTAGTGATAAAATTCCAAGTAAGGCTTCAGTGCATTCAATATTCTTTGGGTACAGGGTATATTTTTATACCTTACAAGTAATGCAATAAGTAAATTATTCTGAATATTAAACTTCAAAATGCAGTAATAAGTAGTATATACTGTACATATTACAGTTTAGCTCCATCCTTCATCTTTTTTTTTATGTGAATAACTTTATACACAGTTATTTTTCTTCCATTTTCAGACACCAATAATTTCTTGCAAAAGAAAAGAATATGACCATTATCTGGGACAAACTTACGACAAGTTTGCTGTGGTTCCTCTTGCATCAAAGGGCTGGGGTCACAGAAAATCATCGGGAGATTACTTCACTATCAATACCAGTAATGGGGTATGTGTTGTATCAAGTCATTCTATCAAATGATTCTCTCTTGATTTGATACATATTTATTCATTTTTATTTTATTATCACACTGGCCGATTCCCACCAAGGCAGGGTGGCCCGAAAAAGAAAAACTTTCACCATCATTCACTCCATCACTGTCTTGCCAGAAGGGTGCTTTACACTACAGTTTTTAAACTGCAAAAATTAACATCCCTCCTTCAGAGTGCAGGCACTGTACTTCCCATCTCCAGGACTCAAGTCCGGCCTGCCCGGTTTCCCTGAACCCCTTCATAAATGTTACTTTGCTCACACTCCAACAGCACGTCAAGTATTTAAAAAACCATTTGTCTCCATTCACTCCTATCAAACGCGCTCATGCATGCCTGCTGGAAGTCCAAGCCCCTCGCACACAAAACCTCCTTTATCCCCTCCCTCCAACCTTTCCTAGGCCGACCCCTACCCCCCTTCCTTCACTACAGACTGATACACTCTTGAAGTCACTCTGTTTCGCTCCATTCTCTCTACATGTCCGAACCACCTCAACAACCCTTCTTCAGCCCTCTGGACAACAGTTTTGGTAATCCCGCACCTCCTCCTAACTTCCAAACTACGAATTCTCTGCATTATATTCACACCACACATTGCCCTCAGACATGACATCTCCACTGCCTCCAGCCTTCTTCTCGCTGCAACATTCATCACCCATGCCACACACCCATATAAGAGCGTTGGTAAAACATTACTCTCATACATTCCCCTCTTTGCCTCCAAGGACAAAGTTCTTTGTCTCCACAGACTCCTAAGTGCACCACTCACCCTTTTCCCCTCATCAATTCTATGATTCACCTCATCTTTCATAGACCCATCCGCTGACACGTCCACTCCCAAATATCTGAATACATTCACCTCCTCCATACTCTCTCCCTCCAATTTGATATCCAATCTTTCATCACCTAATCTTCTTGTTATCCTCATAACCTTACTCTTTCCTTTATTCACTTTTAATTTTCTTCTTTTGCACACCCTACCAAATTCATCCCACCAATCTCTGCAACTTCTCTCAGAATCTCCAAGAGCACAGTGTCATCAGCAAAGAGCAACTGACAAACTCCCACTTTATGTGTGATTCTTTATCTTTTAACTCCACGCCTCTTGCCAAGACCCTCGCATATACTTCTCTTACAACCCCATCTATAAATATATTAAACAACCATGGTGACATCACACATCCTTGTCTAAGGCCTACTTTTACTGGGAAATAATTTCCCTCTTTCCTACATACTCTAACTTGAGCCTCACTATCCTCGTAAAAACTCTTCACTGCTTTCAGTAACCTACCTCCTACACCATACACCTGCAACATCTGCCACATTGTCCCCCTATCCACCCTGTCATACGCCTTTTCCAAATCCATAAATGCCACAAAGACTCTTTAGCCTTATCTAAATACTGTTCACTTATATGTTTCCACTGTAAACACCTGATCCACACACCCCCTACCTTTCCTAAAGCCTCCTTGTTCATCTGCTATCCTATTCTCCGTCTTACTCTTAATTCTTTCAATAAAACTCTACCATACACTTTACCAGGTATACTCAACAGACTTATCCCCCTATAATTTTTGCACTCTCTTTTGTCCCCTTTGCCTTTATACAAAGGAACTATGCATGCTCTCTGCCAATCCCTAGGTACCTTACCCTCTTCCATACATTTATTAAATAATTGCACCAACCACTCCAAAACTATATCCCCACCTGCTTTTAACATTTCTATCTTTATCCCATCAATCCCAGCTGCCTTACCCCCTTTCGTTCTACCTACTGCCTCACGAACTTCCCCCACACTCACAACTGGCTCTTCCTCACTCCTACAAGATGTTATTCCTCCTTGCCCTATACACGAAATCACAGCTTCCCTATCTTCATCAACATTTAACAATTCCTCAAAATATTCCCTCCATCTTCCCAATACCTCTAACTCTCCATTTAATAACTCTCCTCTCCTATTTTTAACTGACAAATCCATTTGTTCTCTAGGCTTCCTTAACTTGTTAATCTCACTCCAAAACTTTTTCTTATTTTCAACAAAATTTGTTGATAACATCTCACCCACTCTCTCATTTGCTCTCTTTTTACATTGCTTCACCACTCTCTTAACCTCTCTCTTTTTCTCCATATACTCTTCCCTCCTTGCATCACTTCTACTTTGTAAAAACTTCTCATATGCTAACTTTTTCTCCCTTACTACTCTCTTTACATCATCATTCCACCAATCGCTCCTCTTCCCTCCCGCACCCACTTTCCTGTAACCACAAACTTCTGCTGAACACTCTAACACTACATTTTTAAACCTACCCCATACCTCTTCGACCCCATTGCCTATGCTCTCATTTGCCCATGTATCCTCCAATAGCTGTTTATATCTTACCCTAACTGCCTCCTCTTTTAGTTTATAAACCTTCACCTCTCTCTTCCCTGATGCTTCTATTCTCCTTGTATCCCATCTACCTTTTACTCTCAGTGTAGCTACAACTAGAAAGTGATCTGACATATCTGTGGCCCCTCTATAAACATGTACATCCTGAAGTCTACTCAACAGTCTTTTATCTACTAATACATAATCCAACAAACTACTGTCATTTTGCCCTACATCATATCTTGTATACTTATTTATCCTCTTTTACTTAAAATATGTATTACCTATAACTAAACCCCTTTCTATACAAAGTTCAATCAAAGGGCTCCCATTATCATTTACACCTGGCACCTGAAACTTACCTACCACACCCTCTCTAAAAGTTTCTCCTACTTTAGCATTCAGATCCCCTACCACAATTACTCTCTCACTTGGTTCAAAGGCTCCTATACATTCACTTAACATCTCCCAAAATCTCTCTCTCTCCTCTACATTCCTCTCTTCTCCAGGTGCATACACGCTTATTATGACCCACTTTTCGCATCCACCTTTACTTTAATCCACATAATTCTTGCATTTACACATTCATATTCTCTTTTCTCCTTCCATAACTGATCATTCAACATTACTGCTACCCCTTCCTTTGCTCTAACTCTCTCAGATACTCCAGATTTAATCCCATTTATTTCCCCCCACCGAAACTCCCCTACCCCCTTCAGCTTTGTTTCGCTTAGGGCCAGGACATCCAACTTCTTTTCATTCATAACATCAGCAATCATCTGTTTCTTGTCATCCGCACTACATCCACGCACATTCAAGCATCCCAGTTTTATAAAGATTTTCTTCTTCTCTTTTTTAGTAAATGTCTACAGGAGAAGGGGTTACTAGTCCATTGCTCCCGTCATTTTAGTCGCCTCATATTTATTCATATAAAAATAAATTCAGATAGATGTATGTTCTGTGAGAATCTTTTTCTGAAGGTAATGAAACCAAAAATATAAAATTTTATAGAAAAAATACAGAATTATGCAGGCAAAAAGTTTGTCAGTTTTGGATGTAATTTATGCATTGGCAATTTTGCCCACTTTGAGTTTAAACCATTTCTATTACTCAGTTCAACCAGATTCCTAGATCTTTTGCTAGTATAACCTCCATTTTATCAAGTGCAAAAAATTGCCTACTCAACCATTAGAACAACCCTATAAAGTGCAAAGAAGTTGATAATTAGGCCAGTTTTATGCAAAATTCAACAAATTTTTAAATAAACACTGTAGGCATTCCAGTCACTAAACAGTGTATCCTCTGTTCATAAATCATGTCACCAGGCCTCACCTATATAACACTTGCCCACCATTTTAAATCCATTGTTATCACAAAAAATTGAAATTTCACCATATTTCTTAGATAAAATATAACCAAGAATGATTTGTCATGGTTTAGGCCATCCTAATAATTGAAGAAGACCTAGTATAAGCCCATAAAATAGACTTGGGAAGGGCCTACCTTTTCTCAGGAAAATCTGCAAAAATCAAATATTTCTGCTTCTCTGGACCCTTTTTCAAGAGACTTCCAGTCCAGAAACTGACCAAAATCAATCTCTCTTTCATTAGTATGTCTTCTGTGAAACCTAAAAAAAATGTTCCAGAAAAACACCTCAAAGTCATTCTTTTAAACCAAACACAAGATAAGAGATTTGCTTTTCCCATCATTCACTGGGTGGGGCAGGATTTTTTTAATACTGTGCACACTCACTGTACAGACCCATACTCTCATGTCCAGGCTAAAATTTATTGCTCATAGCATATTTGAGAGTGCTGTGCTTAAAATATAGATCTACATGGTGTCAGTAACAGATGAGACAATGCAAGGGTTAAATAACATCTGGATGAAGAAAAACCTTCATTATAATATAATATAATTAATTTGTGTATCTATATCTCTAAATGGCTTTTTCTGTATTTAAATTGGTTCCTCTTTATTTTATATTTCTTCAGTTCTGCAGCCCCTCAGTGAGGGGCTCTTGATCTAAGGAATTGAATCTATATGTATCCTCCCTTTCTATGGATTGAGCCTAATTAACTCATTTTCCTAGGTGCTGTATAACCCCTATGAATGTAGCACCCCATAATAATAATAATAAATCAAGTATACAGTAAGAAAATGGTGGTCTGAATATAGCAGCTTCTTAATTTTTGGAATCCATTACATTCTTCTCTTTTATTTAGTGTACTGGACTGTTGCCTAATATTTTTTCTACTTCAGTCTATCATTCCTTCTGGTATGTCTATGAATTTACAACTAACCCACAGTTTGGAAAAAAACACTTTAGATGGCATTAAGGTGAGTTCTGGACCAGTATCATGTCATGAGAAACTTAATAACGGTGTAGGATAGACAAAAGCATTGTCTAAAGTTTACTCCAATTGTCGATTGGTTAGGAATTGTTTGGGCCATGGTACTATATCTTTTATTCTTCATATCCCTAAGTTAAAATGCTGAAGAAAGTATTAAAGGAGCATTTATTTGATGTACGT